TTGCTATTTCCACCTGAACTCCGGGTTGGGAAGTGAATGGGGGGGAAGTACGGGTGCTGCACAATTTGTGTTTTGCCAATCGGAAGGATACTAGGAGCTCTATGGGCCTGTGTGCAAATTCTTGGTGGTTGCGGGACAATGCTTGTGCTTGCCACCTCACCAGCTTTTACTGCACTTATGGGACTCGCCAAGTCACCAAGTGATACTGCAGTGCTGGTATTATTATTATTATTATACAGGATTTATATGGCGCCAACAGTTTGCTCAGCGCTTTACAATATAATGGGAGACAATACAGCAACAATACAGTTCAATACAAGAGGGTTAGGAGGTCCTGATCCTTGGAGCTTACAATCTAAGAGGTATGTGAAAGACCAGGATGTACTAGACCGTTGGTGCTCGCCAGTTCACCAAAAGCTAGCGCGGCACTAGTACTGGCACTCTGCTGCATATGAGAGTCATCAAAATTTACTGGCAAGTGCTAACAGAGATCAGGCCTGATTCTGCCAACACTGCGGTTTTGTGTGCAATGTGTCAAGTGGCAGTGACCTACTGACACTGCACTTGCTGGGGGAGAAGGGGGGGGTAAGCGTACGGGCTAAACACAGGTGTTGGCAGGTGCCAGGGCTGATCCCGCTAACGCTGTGTTTTTGGGGACACTATACTACTGTGAATGCTGGTATAGTGCTGATCTGATCAAAGATATTGATCCGTTCAGACACTATACTAGTAATGGAGGTTTATTATGTATGAGCGTCTTCCTGGCAATCAAGGGGTTAAATGTGATGACTGGGTGTACTGATGGGCAATCTGACGCCATCTGGGAGGGGCGTGAAAACCGCGGAAGCGTCAATCATATATATATGTGATTTTGCGCACAGTTACATAAGCGGTTTTTGTGTTACAGCACTGCGTTACTTTAACTGACAATTGGGCGGTCATGCAACGCTGCACCAAAATTAAATTTACATCTTTTTTTTTTTTTCCCACGAATTTGGATTTCTTTAGGTGGTTTTTGATCGCCTGTGCATTTTTTATTTTTTTTGCGCTATAAAAAAAAAAGCCCGACAATTTTGAGAAAAAAAACAATATTTTGGACTTTTTTCTATAACACGTCCAGTAAAAAAATTTAAAAATCAAATTTCGTCATAAATTTCGGCCAAAATGTATTCTGCGACATGTCTTTGCTAAAAAAAATCCCAATACGTGTAAATTAATTGGTTTACGGGAAAGTTATAGCGTCTACAAATGGTGGTATAGATACTGGATTTTAATTTTTCTGACATCCCCAGTGACACCAATACAGTGATCAGTGCAAAAAAAAAGCCACTGACACTGTACTAATGGCACTGGGGAGGAAGGGGTTAACTTCTGGAGACAAACAAAGGGTTAACTGTGTGAGGGGAGTTTTTTACTAGGGGGCGGGTGTGTACTGCTCTGTTACACACTGTTCCTGGAGGCTGTGACCAGCGATCTCGGAACAGTGAGCTGAAAGCTGACAGGGAGGAAACCTCTATTGAAAACAATGCAGCCTTCCTCTGTCAGTGCTTGCCGGCAATCGCTGGGCTCCAGCGGGTAATCACCGGCCGGGACCTTGTGAATGCAGTATCACGTATATATATATATATATATATATATATATACAGTGGGGATCGAAAGTTTGGGCACCCCAGCTAAAAATGTGTATTAATGTGCATAAAGAAGCCAAGGAAAGATGGAAAAATCTCCAAAAGGCATCAAATTACAGATTAGACATTCTTATAATATGTCAAAAAAAATAGATTTTATTTCAATCATTTACACTTTCAAAATAACAGAAAACAAAAAAATGGCGTCTGCAAAAGTTTGGGCACCCTGCAGAATTTATAGCATGCACTGCCCCCTTTGCAAAGCTGAGAAATGCCAGTGTCATGGATTGTTCTCAATCATCGTCTGGGAGGACCAGGTTATGTCAATCTTAAAGGTTTTAAATGCCCAGACTCATCTGACCTTGCCCCAACAATCAGCACCATGGGTTCTTCTAAGCAGTTGTCTAGAAAGCTGAAACTGAAAATAGTTGACGCTCACAAAGCTGGAGAAGGCTATAAGAAGATAGCAAAGCGTTTTCAGATGTCACTATCCTCTGTTCGGAATGTAATTAAGAAATGGCAGTCATCAGGAACAGTGGAAGTTAAAGTAAGATCTGGAAGACCAAGAAAAATATCAGACAGAACAGCTCGCAGGATTGTGAGAAAAACAATTCAAAACCCACGTTTGACTGCACGATCCCTCCAGAAAGATTTGGCAGACACTGGAGTTGTGGTACACTATTCCACTATAAAGAGATACTTGTACAAATATGGTCTTCATGGAAGAGTCATCAGAAGAAAACCTCTTCTACATCCTCACCACAAAAATCATCGTTTGAACTTTGCAAATGAACATATAGACAAGCCTGATGCATTTTGGAAACAAGTTCTGTGGACCGATGAGGATAAAATGTAACTTTTTGGCCGGAATGAGCAAAGGTACGTTTGGAGAAGAAGGGGCACAGAATTTAATGAAAAGAACCTCTGTCCAACTGTTAAGCATGGGGTTGGATCAATCATGCTTTGGGGTTGTGTTGCAGCCAGTGGCACAGGGAACATCTCACGAGTAGAAAGAAAAATGGATTCAATAAAATTTCAGCAAATTTTGGATGGTAACTTGATGCTATCTGTGAAAAAGCTGAAGTTAAAGAGAGGATGGCTTCTACAAATGGATAATGATCCTAAACACACCTCGAAATCCACGGGGGATTACATCAAGAGGCGTAAACTGAAGGTTTTGCCATGGCCTTCACAATCTCCTGACCTCAACATAATTGAAAATCTATGGATAGACCTTAAAAGAGCAGTGCATGACAGACAGCCCAGAAATCTCAAAGAATTGGAAGACTTTTGTAAGGAAGAATGGGCAAAGATACCTCAAACAAGAATTGAAAGACTCTTGGCTGGGTACAAAAAGCGTTTACAAGCTGTGATACTTGCCAAAGGGGGCAGTACAAGATATTAACTCTGCAGGGTGCCCAAACTTTTGCAGACGCCATTTTTTTGTTTTCTGTTATTTTGAAAGTGTAAATGATGGAAATAAAATCTAACTTTTGTTGACATATTATAAGAATGTCTAATCTGTAATTTGATGCCTTTTGGAGATTTTTCCATCTTTTCTTGGCTTTTTTATTCACATTAATACAAATTTTTAGCTGGGGTGCCCAAACTTTCGATCCCCACTGTATATATATATATATATATATATATATATATATATATATGTGTGATCCTGCGCACAGGGGCCGCCTTGTAGCAGTATATGTACTGCGGGCGGTCCCCTAGTGGTAATATGGTAACCAAATTATATTTTGGACTTTTTTCTATAACACATGTCCAGTAAAAAAATTTAAAAATCAAATTTCGTCATAAATTTCGGCCAAAATGTATTCTGCGACATGTCTTTGCTAAAAAAAAATCCCAATATGTGTAAATTAATTGGTTTACGGGAAAGTTATAGCGTCTACAAATGGTGGTATAGATACTGGATTTTAATTTTTTTTTATACTAATAATAGTGGCGAACAGTGACTTATGGCGGCAATCAGCGACTTATGGCGGGACTGCGGCGGACATTCTGACACTGGGGGGGAACTGATTGGGGTCACTGACATCCCCAGTGACACCAATTCAGTGATCAGTGCAAAAAAAAAGCCACTGACACTGTACTAATGGCACTGGGGAGGAAGGGGTTAACTTCTGGAGACAAACAAAGGGTTAACTGTGTGAGGGGAGTGTTTTACTAGGGGGCGGGTGTGTACTGCTCTGTTACACACTGTTCCTGGAGGCTGTGACCAGCGATCCCGGAACAGTGAGCTGAAAGCTGACAGGGAGGAAACCTCTATTGAAAACAATGCAGCCTTCCTCTGTCAGTGCTTGCCGGCACAGGGGCACAGGGGCCGCCTTGTAGCAGTATATGTACTGCGGGCGGTCCCCTAGTGGTAATATGGTAACCAAATGATACCACATGATAGGGGCGGACTGACCATTTGGAAACTCGGGCACTGCCCAAGGGCCCAGGGTCAGTAGGGGGCCCCATGAGATGCCCCTGGTACCTTTTTCATAGGCTTTTTTGAGTTTGCGCAAGGACACAGGGGCCCCATGATCCCCTATTGCCTGGGGGCCCCATGAGTTGTCAGTCCGCCCCTGCCACATGAAATACCAGTTCAGGCCATTGTTTACATTTGCTTACCATGGTAACCAAGCCATTGTTTACATTTGGTTACCATGGTATGTTAGAGTCTAATGGCCCCCAACTCCTATAATGTCCTCCACTTTGCACAGAATGTCCCATCTCCTGTAAAAGGATTTAGCTACACTCGCTCCATGAAATGGCAAAAATTGGCATGCTAGGTATTCAGAGGGCTCAGTTGCTACCCCGTTTACAATGCCACTGAACAACAGGATTTACATCGAAAACCAAATTACCTGCAAGGACCCACCATGACCTGAACAAAAGGAGGTCTCCAGCAGTAAAAATCCACCAAATGTATTAAAATGAAAAAAAGCTGCACTCTTAAAAACAAAGACAATAGTCCAAAATAACCTAGAAGTACAGATAACGTTCTTATTAATGTGGCAATATTGGGGTAATACATAGTATAGAGCAAGGGATGGACAGTACAGCCTACAACGTGCAATTGTCCAGAGCATTTAAAGCCTAATCTCAGCTTATGTGTTACTTTCAATAGTTTGGGCCATTACTAAGAAATGTCAGCTCTGTATAAACTGAAATTGGCCTGCTGTCAGCTTGGACCACACAAATCATTTAAAGTGACTCAAAACCTTGGAGGCTTTAATTTACAGTATGGTATAAAAGTGTAGTCTATAGTATGTAATGCATTGTGCATTTTACAGAGGTAAGTTGTCTGCAGTATGTACCGTATTTTTCACTCCATAAGACGCACTTGACCATAAGACGCGCCTAGGTTTTAGAGGATAAAAACAAGAAAAAAAAATATTCTGAACCAAATCGACTGCAGACCAGAGACTGCGGACACAGTACAGGAGATGACCAGAGACTGCAGACATACTACAGGAGATGACCAGAGACTGCGGACACAGTACAGGAGATGACCAGAGACTGCGGACATAGTACAGGAGATGACCAGAGACTGCGGACACAGTACAGGAGATGACCAGAGACTGCGGACATAGTACAGGAGATGACCAGAGACTGCGGACATAGTACAGGAGATGACCAGAGACTGTGGACACAGTACAGGAGATGGACCAGAGACTGCGGACACAGTACAGGAGATGGACCAGAGACTGTGGACACAGTACAGGAGATGACCAGAGACTGCAGACATAGTACAGGAGATGACCAGAGACTGTGGACAGTACAGGGGATGACCAGAGACTGCGGACAGTACAGGGGATGGCCAGAGACTGCGGACAGTACAGGGGATGACCAGAGACTGCGGACAGTACAGGGCATGACCAGAGACTGCGGACAGTACAGGGGATGACCGGAGACTGTGGACATTACAGGGGATGACCAGAGACTGCGGACAGTACAGGGCATGACCAGACACTGCGGACGTTTAGGGAGGGAGGGGGATCGGGTACCTGAATTTGACAGGTACCCGCTCCCACTTCCGCGGAGTTCTCCTTCCTATACTGTGGGTACCCGACTTTGACAGCTGGGTGCCCACTGCGCATGCGCGAGAAACACTGCGCTTTGTGAATGGCCCGGCATCTTTTGGGACCTGTCATGTGTCCCAGAAGACATCAGACCATTCACAAAGCGCAGCGCTTCTCGCGCATGCGCAGTGGGCACCCGGCTGTCACAGATGCCGGGGCGGGAAGAAGCCGGCGTGGGAAGACTACAGTGCTGGACCGAGGAACAGGTGAGTTCCTGTTGCAGAGAACAGCTGACCGGCCGGCCCGGTATTCTGATATAGTGGCGGCGAAAATACCGGACCGGCCGCTTTATATTCGCTCCATAAGACGCACTGACATTTTCCCCCCTTTTTTGGGGGGGAAAAAAGTGCGTCTTATGGAGCGAAAAATACGGTACTTCACAGCTTAGGAAATGCATAAAGCGGTCCGGAGTGCAAAGCAACAACATAGAGAGGAGAGAGATTCACAATATGTAACATACTATAGGTGTGCACAATGGAAACATTTGTGTTGTTTCAGATTTGTTCGTCATATACGTTATGTTAGAATGATTTGTTTTTGGAATTTGTTTTGTATATTTGGATTTGCTTTGCATATTCGCTATTTTCGAATCGATTTGATATTCAAATTCAAATTTCGAAATTACAATTTTGGAAGACAGCTATATTCTATTTTCTTTTTATTCTATTTGAAATGTGAATTGCGGAAGATGCATTTATTCTTTCCATTTTATTCTATTTGAAATTCAAATTTCAGAATACGACTATATTGTTTCTAATTTATTCTGTTCTATTTGAAATAGAATTTTGGAAGACAGCTACATTCTTTCTATTCTATTCAAAATTTGAATTTTCAAAATTTTAAATTTGAAAAAACAGTTATATTCTGTTTTATTCTATTCTACTCAAAATTTGAATTGCAGAAAACAGCTATTTTCATTCTATTATAGTCTGTTTTTATTCTGTTCTAGTCTATTCTATTTTATTCTATTTGATTATTTTCTAATCTATTATTTTATTTTCCATTCTATATTATTCTATTATGTTCTATTCTATAAAGCAGCCTAAGTAGGAATCATCATCTTATTTCACTTTTATACCTTACTGTATTTATTACAAGATGATTCCATTTCAAATTTGAAATTCATTTTAAAATTTGGATAATTAATTTTGTAACTAAACAAATTGTGCATGTACTTAACATTCTGTGTACCAAAAAGGTGCAGAGTGATGAACAGTGGAGCATATACAGTACAAAGGGGCAATCTGGAGTATGCAATATGCAGCACAGTTTACAGAATGAACTGGTCCATAGTATGTAAAGTATAAAGTATTATATAGAGTGCAGTGTTATGCAATGATAATCCTTTATCTGAAAAAAAAACTGTTTCTGCAGCTGCTTGTGTAACTACAATGTGAGGTGGAGGTTGGCTTCAATTGGTTAGTGTATTTAAATCTGCTAGTCCATCTAACACTCCCCCTCCTCCCCTTTGCTGTCCAAAAGTGCCCCTAAGTGCCTTCATCTAGAGTGGGGGCACTCTAATACGGGAGGTTTTGTTACTGACCAGATCACCAGGTGAAAAAAGAGGGGAAAAGCCTAAAAAAATAAACCAAATGCAGCCACCACATCTATTGATTGGCAAATTGCAATAGATAACATTTTTGGTTTTGGGTTTAATACCGCTTTAAGGGTAGAGTTTAGATTTTGTTGTTTGGTTAGATTTAAAGGTTCAGGTTGAATTAACTATTTAAAAAGGTATGTTGACGTTAAAGTGTTACTAAACCCACAACAGTAAAATCAGTCTGTAAATGCAGTAAAGCATGCTTGTTATACCCACTGTGGAACCTAAGGGGTTAATCCTCCTAATTGTGTAAAAAGGCTGTTTTATCCTGTCTTCTCAGATCCTCCCCTTCTCCTACTGTCCCCAATCCATCTGGTGATAGTAGAGAGCCCTAGGAGTCACTCTGCACATGCTCAGTTTAGTGTGTATTTCTAGAGAGTTTTTTTTTTTCTTTTGGAGAGTGCAAGTGATCAGCACAGGGCCAATAAGCACTGTCCAAATTGAGACAACAGCAGTGTGTAACCCAAGCTGCCACCAATATGAGACAAATATGGGGTAAACTTATGCCGCTCTGTCTGAATACATGATGATAATGACACTCTGAGCCTTACCCTGCAAAAAAGATTTTCCAGCTTGCAGGACCACAAGCTAAATGCCAGCAGACTGAGAGCAAACAAAACTGGGTTTAGTTGACTATCAAGCTAACCTGAAACATACAAAACAGCTGTCACCATGGTGCAAAATCTGGTGCAGCTCTTCACAGAAACCAGCTTCCAGGTATTTTTGTCAAAGCTTAATTGAACAAGCTTAAGTTGGAAGCTGATTGGCTACCATGCACAGTTGCAGCAGATTCTGAGTGCACCAGCTTTAGTAAACCTACCCCCCTCATGTATTTTATTGGAAACACAAATAATTCACAACATACTTTAATGGCTTAATTAATATATAAATTAATGATAGAAAAAGGTAAAACAGTGCAAACAAAATATTTACAGAAGAAAAGTATTACAAAAGAAAAGTTAAAAATAATACAACAGAAAAAAACAACGGTCAAAAAACAAAAGGACCTAAAGTACTTGACAAAGGTGTCAAAATGTTTATGACCATGCAGCTACCACTCCGTCAGCTACGGTTTTTAAAATGGATTAATATTTCAAGTGTACCATATGTCACGATATAGTCACCCACATATTGCACAGCATGCAATTACCATTTATATAGAAACTAAAAAGGATATACCTGAGATGGCTAGATCACACAGGTGGTGGAATGTGTCTATTCCACCTCCTGCATATGATAGCCTAGTTGGGTTTACCCTTAAACCATTGAGTATGTTCCTCCACATTTGGATATATAATCATTATTAGCATAGTTTTATCATATCTAATTTTGTGAATTGCATTTAGATTTTGAAACTGTGAATTCAAGAGGGGGGTGCTAACAGGTCAGGTAAACCCTCTTAGTGTAGATCAGGTATAAATGGCTTATAGTATAGATCAATTACCCCGGAGTAAGACATTCCATTGCATGACAGTTTTCTCTAACTGATTTAATTATCACGAGATGTAGAGCGTGACAAATCTGAAATGCATTTAACACATTTATGATGGGCTGATCCAAATTCTCACTGTTTCAGTGTGATTATCTACATTCTCATTATACTTTTGTAGTTTTTTTTCATGCTAACAAACATCATTTTTGATAATGAACTACTGAAAGATTGCAGCGTTCTGTTCCAGATATCTTATGAAACAAATGAATTAGTCTTTTCAACATTTAGCTATTAACAGGTCTAAGTAGGGTTTATGATCCTGCTGAAAAAATTGTGTACTATAGGCCTCGGAGCTGCATTCCTAGGGTTATATGTTTTGGAACGGGGTCACTGACTGGCTCTGTCTCTGGTATTCTAAAAAAAAGTCACACTTGCCTTGTGAGGTTTAAAACAACAAGGCTGCTCTATGCCTTCTTACAAAGTATTTGGGTGCTCAAACCTCATTATCTTCACAGAGGAAACTGATAATGCAGGTGCCACAGTTACACTTTAGATGCTACAGAAATCTTTCAGTAGTGTTTAAAGAAAAGAAAACCCGCTAAAAGAAATACAGAAACATATTGTTAACTTCATTCTGAAGTTGCCTGGCTGTCTTTGGCCTCAAACGTTTTGAATCGAAGTATAAGAATGTGGTACTGAAAGTCAAAGTGAAGTCAGAAAACTTAAAGCAGAGTTCCAGTCCCGCTAAAATTTTTTGTTAAAAGCAGATCCACGATGACATTAAAAATAGCATTAACAATTGGAATAAATAAATATTAAAAGCATTGTAATTACTTAGAAAATCGTAAACATTTACCAGGATATCGGAAGCAGGCAGGTGCCATGATGGCTGTGGGTATCTGAAGCCTGCAGGTATTTTTTTCACTGGAATCGTGCTGCTGGCTATCCCCCAGCATGCAACACTCATTCTCGTGCATGCGCAGTACAGACACTGCTCGGCATCTGCAGTACAGGTCGACATAACAATGGTGAGGACAAATGAAGTTCCCGCCCCCGTCAGGCAACCTGTACAGCACTGTACTGCAGGAAGGGAATATATCATGGAGTCCGGTAAAATGGCGCAAAACAACTCCCATTCGTGTAATTTCCAGTTTCCAAGTCCCGTGATTACAGGAAACTAAAGGACTCCTGGGATACAGGAAACGACATCCCAGGAGACCTTGCAAATCACCTTACGATGTCATCGCCTAGGCGGTCGGGACTGGAACTGCAGGCTTGCAGAGGATTAAAAGATATGTATGATAGAAAAAAAAAAATCAAACTTTATTTCACAGGGACTACATAAAAGGTAAAGTATTAAAAATGGGTGGAACTCCACTTTAATCGGCACAAATGTTCCAGGACAGTTCCTTAACCCCCCCTGGTGGTATTCCCAAGTGTAGCTCGGGGTTAAGTTTCAGTACCAAAAGCGGTAACCCCGAGCTACACTCGGGAATACCCTGCAGCGCTGCTCTGGGATCTCTCCAGCACTTACCTTCTCCTGCGCTCTCCACAATGTCCCCGCTGCAGCGTCCCCGGCCATCTCCTCCGGCCGATGCCAGCATCCATCTTTCAGGTTCCGTTCCCTGCGAGCATCGGGAGGTACGGGGAACGGAACCGGCGGGAAATTCAAAAATGTAAAAATGTGACATTCA